ATGATGATGATCGCCAACAGCTGTTCCGACGTCCAGAATAGTCGCGCGACGGCTATATTTAATTGTCCGAAATCTATTCCACCGTATCATCGGCGTGTATTTACGTATGCAAACAAGTTCTATTTGCAATTAACACCATTACCTTCTCCAATACTTCGACGCAAACGTATTTTTAGCGCTCGCAGCCGTTTCCATCGCGCACAAAACACTATTTACGTAATTAATACTTCTTTTTTGACATTCAATAACTGACATTATCAATTGAAAAACAAAATAAACAACGACGTCAAATGTTACTTTACAATGCTACTTGATTTCTTATATAATTTAATTTAAAAAAAAAAACACAAAGAATTTCATTCAAATGTTTATTAAAAATTAGCAATTGTTTTTCTATTACATAAAATAAATAAAGTCAATGCATTAGCTACTACAATTTTTATAAATTAATATCAAAAATATAAAAAAAGAAAACTATTATTTCTAACAGTATCAAGAAGTAGTGAATCTTCCAATTTTTCAATAAGCTAATTTATTTTCTATAAATTTGTTATTGTTGTTTTTATTCATTTAGCAAATAACATAAATAATTAAACTGTTAGTCGATTAATTACAAACTTTTTTCATTAATTTCATAATAATCTCATAGAATTTTGTGTATATTTACTATCAAATGTTATTTTACAATGCTACTTGATTTCTTATATAATTTAATTTAAAGAAAAAACACTTCATAAGAATTTCATTCAATTGTTTATTAAAAATTAGCAATTGTTTTTCTATTACACAAAATAAATAAAGTCAATGCATTAGCTTCTACAATTTTTATAAATTAATATCGAATATATAAAAAAAGAAAACTGTAATTTCTAACAATATCAAGATAATAAAGAAGTAGTGAATCTTCCAATTTTTCAATAAGTTAATTTATTTTCTATAAATTTGTTATTGTTGTTTTTATTCATTTAGCAAATAACATAAATAATTAAACTGTTAGTCGATTAATTACAAACTTTTTTCATGTAATTTCATAATAATCTCATAGAATTTTGTGTATATTTACTATCAAATGTTATTTTACAATGCTACTTGATTTCTTATATAATTTAATATAAAAAAACAAACACTTCATAAGAATTTAATTCAATTGTTTATTAAAAATTCGCAATTTTTTTCTATTACAATTAAAGTCAATGCATTAGTTTCTACAATTTTTATAAATTAATATCGAAAATATAAAAAAAGAAAACTATAATTTCTAACAGTATCAAGATAATAAAGAAGTAGTGAATCTTCCTATTTTTCAAAAAGCTAATTTATTTTCTATAAATTTATAACATAATTACAAACTTTTTTCATATAATTTTATAATAATCTTATAGAATTTTGTGTATATTTACCATTTCAGAAGCTTTACAGAATATTTGATATATTAAAACTACTTTTACTACCTAATTAAACTATTATTTAGTAGATTTAGAATTATGAAATTAGATTATGTTATGCAAAGAGGAAGGAAAATGATGATTATTATTCTGTGGTTATTGGTACGTGTGTGTGTCTGTGTGGATGAGCATGTTTTTGCGGCGATGGGTCTGGGATCCGTGGAGAGACAGAGAGAGTCCTTGATGGAATCGACCACCGTTTGAGTGGTATATTTAGGCGCCGCGTTACGTCACCGCGCGACGTCAGATACTCGAGTCGTGCGGATGGCATTGCCGGTCTACGGCGACGACGACGACGTCGGGCACGATCGTGGTGGGGCGACGAAAGAGGTGGAGGACGAAGAGGAGGAGATGGACGGTGGTGGATGAGGGGGCGGGGGGCGTGAAAGGACGTCTGGGTGGGGGACGAGACGAGCGTTCCCATTGGCCAGCAGCGTTCATTGCGACTTCCAAATATGGAACAGATGCTCCATTCATAAAAGTAAAGTTGCGCTCGCGTCGCGACCAGTTTCCGAGCGACATCCGAGAGAGCCGGTTACGTTCGCAGTTGTAGTTGTGCATCACGCAGATCCAGGTATCTAATACTCCTGCTGCTACTGAAAGATACAGAAGAAGATACACGCAACAGATGTAGCTGTTACTACTGACGATAAAAACGCAACTGAAGATATAAATAAATAAATAAACATTGTGGGGTGCGCTCGACTATATATAGTGGATAGTACACACTGCTGGTTGTGGTTAAAAGTTGTTGCTACGATACCGATTCACGGATGACAGTGGTGGGTGGTTGCAGTTGTTGTTGTTGTTTCTGCAGTTGTTTACCCAGAGCCGCCTACGCGCCCCTGTCGCCACCCCCGCGACGAGCGGCGACGGGACCGCGAGTGTAGTGCGATCAGGAGCTGCTACGTCCTCCGCCTCCTCCTCCACTACATCCAACGGCGGTGATACTTGTTTTTCTACATCTTCATCGATTCCTTCGGGCGGCGGGAATTCCTTCTCCACCGAAGACGAGGAGAAGAATCGCGCCTACAACATGATCATGGACGGCTTGGACACGCTGCCCTCACAGCACCACCACCATCATCATCATCACCACCATCACGCCTCGGCCTTCCTGCTGACGGAGACGGCGGCTGCTGCGGCCGCCGCCCATCACTTCAACGTGCTCAGCTTCGACACGTGCCTGTACAAGGCGACGGGTACGAGCCTCGAAGCCGGCGGCGGCTGCTCTCCTCTTCCTGCCGTCACCTGTTCCTCCATAGCCGAGGACGCGCGGTCCTCCTCCGAGGAGCCGCAACCGGGAGATCTCAACACGCCGGTCACCACGTCCGGAGACACACTCTCGTTCTTCGGACCATCCACAGTCGTCGAACCTCCGCCCATCACAGGTGAGTTCGCTACGACGACGATGTCCACGATCAAACAACTGCAAATAGAAGAAAACGATGCATCTTCTTAGAGCTCGGACGGATCGCGACAGGTGCAAAAACAACACTTAACCCGACGGTCTACAGAAATGCACGCACTCCGCCGCTCTCGTACACACACGCATTCTCTGGGCTATCTAAATTTAAACCCGACCGTCGGTCGCTCGCTCGATCCGTTTTCCACGCTGAAACTACAAGTCGTGTACTCCATCCACTCGCAACACTCAAAATATATAAATAAATGACTACGTGTATACATATATATATATTACAACAAGCATACATAAAAACAGACGAAACCGATAATAATAGCCACAAGGATTGCGTCAAACTTTTGTTGTTATGTCTATATATCGATCGAGAGAAGCGCGCGCGTTACTTCTTTCTCTTACTTACTTACTTACACATCATCTTATACATAGAAATCGGCAACAAGTTGGAAACACTGCACGCGCGCCTGAATCAATAATAGTTACACAATTAAAATAATTTCCACTTGAAAAACCGAAAGAGAAAACAAACAATAAATTTACACCGAAATCCTATACCAGCATCTAATAATATAACGCTGAAACCGAAAAGAAAAAATAAAATAAAAGGAGAAATTCGATACGCGCGCGCGCTCTCAAAAAATAAATACATAAATCTTAACAACCACAACGTTTATGAATATCATTCGATGATTCAATTAATGAGTTTAATTAATTTTAACGACTTCTTAAAAAAAAAAGTTAACATTTAACAGAATAATCAAATAATAATAATCAAGTATTATTCATATTCGTTAATACAATTTAATTGAATGAATATATCAATTATAATATTTATTATAATCAATGTAAAGTTTATTTAATGTATATATTTAACTTATAATCTGCAAACACAATATATTAACAATTATTAATAGATAATAATTACTATTTTAAATAGAAATCAGATAAATTTACAATATTAAATTGGATTACGGTGTAGCTATTAATATATCAAAACTGTAAATTATTGAATGTACACAATGTAAATAATTTAGTTCATCATAATAATCTAATTAATAAATTATTTATAACAAAAGTGGAAATTAATTAACAAAGTCAACTGAGAGAGTTGCGGTAAAGTCGTTAAGATGCGGCAGATGTTATTTCACTTTTGTGTTCTTATTTTAATTATTTACTAAATAATTCTTATATGTTTACATCATAAATCTTATGTAAAATCACTAATTTGTTGCAAATAAACAACATTGTAAGGAGATCAGTAATTTCATTAAAAAATGAGTATTATTTTGAAATAATGAATGAATTTACTTGAATGATTAAAGTTTATGGGGTGGTTGGAGTTTATGTAGTATACAGGAGTGAATTGCATGAATGAATCGCAACAAGTTGTAAATCTGCGCGCAAAGTCCGTCGCGGATCGATGGTGAAAAGCCGGGTAGTGGAAGGATTAGTTAATTTTCCTGCTGCTGCTGCTTCTGTTGCTGCTGCTGCTGATGATGATAAAATGCAAAATGTAATCTAATCTCGCGCGTGCACGTATCGCGTCCCATTATCGGGGATAGAAACTCGTGCGTGCGTCAGCACAAAAACCACCTGCTTCAACCTGCTGACCGTAGATTTTCTTGCAGGTTCTTTGGACCCGGAGGAACTGTCGCTGGAGCAGACCGGAAGCCCGAGACATTCGCCGACGGGAAGCAGTCACCTGGGGGAGCGAAGCACGCCGCAGGAGAGCGCCATCAGTCCAGGGGGACACGAAGAGGAGGCGACGAGTAACAGCGCGATGAGCATGTATCCGAACAACAACAATAACAACAACAACAATAATAATAACAACAACAACACGAAGCTGCAGCAGAGGAATATGTACGGGACGAGTCCGGGTTTATCGAGCGGGAATATGCAGATGCATCCTGAAAGTCCTCTAGGCTTGGCGAGTCAGGATATGCATTCGCCTTCATCTGTGAATCCGTGGTTGATGTCCACCGGAGATAAACCTTTATATCCTGCAATGTACGGGCTCCTCGGGCAATCGGGGAGTTCGCAATCGCCGCAGCAGTATCCTTCGGCGACGCCGAGTCCTGCTGGAACGCAGTACGACGATCGCTCTCAAACTGATCAACTCATGCAGCTGAGCATGGAGTGCAATTTGAAGCAACCACCGACTTACACCAGTTGCTCCGCGTCGTCTGGGCTTCAAATGGAGATGCAGCAGCAGGATCTGGTTTACGCGAGGCAACCGCTCGTTTCGAATCCGGCGAAATATCAATGGGACTCGCAGGATTACAGTCCGGGGCTGGTGCCTCCACCGCCGCAGTCTTCATCGACGCTCGTGCCTAAGCAGGAGCCGTTCAGTTCGGGATGTTCGGGGGAGATGTCGCAGCAGTCAGGTGGAAGTTACGGTGTAGCCTTGGCAGAGTACAACCCTTCGACCAGCAAAGGACACGAGATCCTCTCGCAGGTGTATCAGCAATCGCCGATCCCGCTGAAGCTGGTGCCGGTGAAGCCGCGCAAATACCCGAACAGACCGAGCAAAACCCCGGTGCACGAGCGGCCGTACGCCTGTCCGGTGGAGAACTGCGACCGAAGGTTCTCCAGGTCCGACGAGCTGACGCGCCACATCCGCATCCACACCGGACAAAAACCCTTCCAGTGTCGCATCTGCATGCGCTCGTTCTCCAGGTCCGATCACCTCACCACGCACATCAGGACGCACACGGGAGAGAAACCCTTCTCCTGCGACGTCTGCGGTCGCAAATTCGCGCGCAGCGACGAAAAGAAACGGCACGCCAAAGTCCACCTCAAGCAACGCATGAAGAAGGAAAACAAATTATCGTCATCGACGACATCATCCTCTTCCGCAGCAACCAACTCCCAGCAACAGCAACAACAACAACAACAGCAGATGAACAACCAGCACCAACAGCAACAGGTCCAGCAGCATCACCATCTGCATCCTCACCAGCATCACATGCACACCGTGACCAGCGACGAGGGCCTCACCCTTCCCGTCGTCACGACGACCCTGTGAGACTTACCAACGGCCGAATTGGCCCCAGGTGAATGTGTTCTCTTCATCCGCGACGACTGTGATCTCGGCACCGACGCCGCCCGCCTCATCTACGTGCGGATCGAGTAAACTTTAGTATTGTTGTTGCTGTCCGCAAAACGCATCAATCAATTCGAAAGAATGCAAAAAAAAAACAAATGATCTCCAGGCCCGTCTTCAAGAGTGCCATCTGTTGTTGCCCGTAAAAACAAAAGTGTTTCAAAGCCCACCCTCCCCTATAAATAAAAAAAAAAAAAAACATTAATAACAAAACAAAAACTCTATTTTTCTAAGCGAGTGTCGCCGAAGACACGCCCTAGGTGTTTCTCTTTCATTATTAGTTTTTTTTTTAACAATTAATAACAAGATAAAAAGGCTTTAATTAATATTACTATTATTGTTTTTTCTCTTATTATTATCATCATAATAATAATTACTATTTTTATAAATAATTTGTTGCCAAATAACACAAACAAACAAACACACACACACGATACTTTGAAACTATTTTTTTTTATCTATATATATATATACATTCCGTACTAGTGTTTTATTTTCTATTTACTATTATTATTATATATGTTAAATATATATTGTATTGTTGCCGTTTTAGATTATATCGTATTTATTTTCTGCAAAACTAAAAGAAATCGTGACCACGACGAAAACGCAATACGTCACGATCTTTTTACCTATTACTATTTTTAATTTTATTATTACTATTTTGTTTCTTTCTTTACAAATTTAATGAGAATTTTTGAACTTGAAACGTCAATAGTCTCGGAGATTGTAGTCAATATTCGTCCGAAAAAACAACAAAATTGTATATCTTTCAAAAAGAATTCGAACAAAGTGTATATTTATGTATTTACATTTGGAATGAAGATGATTGTTAAGAGAGAGAGAGTGAAAGAGTAAAAAAAATTGCCTTAAACGAAGTGTCTTTACTTAGAGGAAATCAGATAGCGTTAGTAGAGTTACCAGCTGGATTCAATTAGATTGGAACTGTCCACGCGTTGGGGGAAAATTACGAAGGAGGAAGGAAAATTCCAGCGACTTTCTACTGCTTTGCATTTTCTCGGACACACACTTATTATTATTTTTTTCCTTGCTCTGCATTATTTATCTATAAACGTTCGTGATCCAAGAAGTCAACTATGTTAACTAACTACACACACACACACACACAATAACAAATTAGTTTTCAGTAAATCGTAAATTTTACAACATATCTATAATCAATAATTACTCAAAAGTTGTTTCAGTAAAGCGTGAACTATCAGTAAGTTCTTTTTCGTTATTGTTGTTGTTGTTTATTAAAGGAAAAGGCCTAATTTTTTCATTTATTCCCTCGCATTTCAGTGCGATCTGAAAGAGTTTATTTCTATACATTTAAATAAATAAATATATATATATACATAATTATAGATAAGGATGTATTAAATTGTAAATATTATGTTGTATAATAAATAACGTACTGTAAATAGTATTTAAACATTCAAAAATATAAATTGTTACAGAAGCAGAATGATTAAACAGAAATTTATATATGTAATATATTGAAAATACTATTGTAATTGTTGGATGAAGCTACCGCTGAATCCGTATCGTTGTTTCCTTCCATCGTGCACACACGACATTGAACATATAAACACGCATTATTGTTTTTCGTTTGTAAATTGAAAAGTAGATGAAACAAAAAATTAAATCCCTTACATATTTTTATATAAAACATGAAACTAGATATGTTCAATCCCATCAATTTAATCTGTTTTTGTATCGAAGAATCGTTACTGTTGTTGCTGTTGTTGTTCGAAAGGATGTTTTTTGGTAAAATGATAAAATAAAGAATTTTTTTTTTAAATAATTATTGACTCAATGAGGCTGTTGTATTATGAATGTGATATTTGAATACATGGATATTGTAGATTTGTTATCACACACCACACACACACACACCTTTACTTCTTTCCACTGTACACATTAATGAAATTTTCGATATGAAATTATTTTGTAAATGTTGTCTCAACAGATGTTTTCTCTCCTGTACATAATGATAAATGTATAAATATTATATATATATAATGAAGAGTTCTCCAGTTACGCATTACCACTAAACTATATATATAAATAAATAAATGTTTTAAAATGAGGAACGAGATATGAAAACAAAAACAAAAATAGTAATGATGAAAAGAAAACCTGTACGTAATTTGTCATTCTGTTATTGTGTTTTTCTTTCTTTCTAATTTTTATTTTTTACGTATTCATTCTCACATGAATTGAAGCAGGAAGACGAAATGAATAAAGAGGTGAAAATAAATAAACGATGAGTTCAATCGATGCGTTCTAATTTATCCCCAATTTCAACTTCTTCATCATCCTTTATATATATAAAAAAATCCTGAAATTCTACTGTAATTGTTGGAAATATTTCAGAAATTTGATAAATTTGAATGTTCTAATATTACAGAATTACATATATAATCAATTAAGTTTAAAATAACTAAAATGTTTCCAATTTTCTTAACTTTTTTGTTCTTGACTTTCTTTTAGATAATATTGATTTTTAGAACCTTGTTGCAAACTATTCTTGAAGTAAACATAACTTAGAATAAAATTCCATAAAAATATATTTGCTTTATAATAAATTTTCTACCAATTGGAATTTTACTTTACATCAAAGATTTTCCATAAAATTAATAATTGATTACATAAAAAATCCTTTTAATATTTGATTGATTTAAGTCTACTTAATGAAAAAATCAATTAGATTAGAAAAAAATCCTGAAATTTTACTGTAATTGTTGAAAATATTTCAGAAGTTTGAAATAAATAAGAATTTTTCCAATTTTCTTAACTTCTTCGTTCTTGACTTTCTTTTAGATAATATTGATTTTTAGAACCTTGTTGCAAACTATTCTTGAAGTAAACATAACTTAGAATAGAATTCCATAAAAAAAATATATTGTTTTCTTTTAAGTTATGTAATAAATTTTTTACCAATTTCAATTTTACTTTACATCAAATATTTTCCATAAAATTAAAAATTGATTACATAAAATCCTTTTAATATTTGATTGATTTAAGTCTACTTAATGAAAGAATCAATTAGATTAGTGAAAATATTGTTTATTAAGGTAATTCTCAACTTTGTTGATAATTTAGTAAATGTTAAATTCTTTAGTACAAATGTAAGTTTTGTATTTATTATATAAAATGCTCTTAATATTTCATTGATTTGAGTCTATTTATGAAAAGATTCAATTAGATTAGTAAAAATATAGTTTATTAAGGTAATTCTCAACTTTGTTGGTAATTTAGTAAATGTTAAATTCTTTAGTGTTAATGTAAGTTTTATATTTATTATATGAAATGCTCTCAATATTTCATTGATTTTAGTCTATTTATCAAAAGATTCAATTAGATTAGAAAAACTATTGTTTATTAAGGTAATTCTCAACTTTGTTGGTAATTTAGTAAATGTTAAATTCTTTAGTACAAATGTAAGTTTTGTATTTATTATATGAAATGCTCTCAATATTTCATTAATTTGAGTCTATTTATGAAAAGATTCAATTAGATTAAAAAAATATTGTTTATGAAGGTAATTATGAAAAGATTCAATTAGATTAAAAAAACTATTGTTTATTAAGGTAATTCTCAACTTTGTTGGTAATTTAGTAAATGTTAAATTCTTTAGTACAAATGTAAGTTTTGTATTTATTATATGAAATGCTCTCAATATTTCATTGATTTTAGTCTATTTATGAAAAGAATCAATTAGATTAGAAAAACTATTGTTTATTAAGGTAATTCTCAACATTGCTGGTAATTTAGTAAATGTTAAATTCTTTAGTACAAATGTAAGTTTTGTATTTATTATATGAAATGCTCTAAATATTTCATTTATTTTAGTCTATTTATGAAAAGATTCAATTAGATTAGTGAAAATATTGTTTATTAAGGTAATTCTCAACTTTGTTGGTAATTTAATAAATGTTAAATTCTTTAGTATTCTTTATATGAAATGCTCTCAATATTTCATTGATTTGAATCTATTTATGAAAAGTATCAATTAGATTAGTAAAAACTATTGTTTATTATGGTATTCTCAACATTGTTGGTAATTTAGTAAATGTTAAATTATTTAGTACAAATGTAAGTTTTGTATTTATTATATGAAATGCTCTCAATATTTTATAGATTTGAGTATATTAATGAAATTAGATTATTAAAAATATTGTTTATTAAGTTAATTTTCAACATTGTTGGTAATTTAGTAAATGTTAAATTTAAGTTTTGTAATATTTAGAGATCAACGAACTTTTTGTATTGTTCTTTATGTAACAATAATTCTTCTCTATAAGAATGTGTGTGTTTATTCTTGGATGGAAGAAGTGTTTTCAAGTATTTCGTTTATGGTTTTTAGTAGTGATTTTAGGTCTTCGGGATCAAAGCGGAGGAGACCTGTTGCGAGCCGTCGCTTGCTGCTGATTCGTAGACCTGTTGCCATTCGCATTCCTCTTTTGCTGCTGTTATTGTTGTTGGTGATCTCTTCTGCAACAACCACCTCCAACTTAGGTCTGCGAAGAGGAGAGGAGTTTCGCGCTCTGCTAGAACTGTTGGTGTAGTCTTTCTTTTCGTTTTGTGTGCAGAGGGATCCGTCTGACGACTGATGTCGAGAGAAGAGAGTCCTGTGCTCTTGGGCCACGCGAGTGACGTCAAGCCTGTTAGCGCGTGCCCCACCTTGACCAAGCCTTTATCTCGTTGCATTAAGGCAAGTTTCCTAAACAGTCGCTTTGATACAAGACACAACTCATTTGGGATCGGGGATGCGTGGGATGGTAAGCTTTTGTGAATGGTTCTCATATCTTCTCGCTCCTTCTCACACACACACAATCTCCTTTCCTTCTCTCTCTCTTGGCAGTGGATACATCCACCTCTTATTCTTCCTCTGCTCTTTATACACATTCTTATTATATACTCTTCACACCAGAGCACACCACATCCATTGTCGTTACTTATCTTACACACCCTTTTCTTCTTCTTCTTCATCAACATCTCTCCTACCACCCGAAACATTCATCTCTCAAACTCACCTCTCTTCTCTCTCCTTCAACAAAACAACAATTCTCTTCTTCTCCATCTTCTT